TCCACAAATGTTCCTGTGTCTCTGAGCCCCACAATGGCCCTTTCACATTTGCAATTTCATTTAATCCTTGCTTTCTTCAAGCCCAGGGATCGGCAGAGTGTCTACAAAGGGCTTTGTGGACCATACTGTCTCTCCATCAACTACTCAGCTCTGCTTTGCAGTGTGAAAGCAGCCATAGACAATATGAAAATGAATGGGTGTGGCTTTATTTGGGACGTCAGAATTTGAATTTCATTATCATTTCCATGCGTCATGAAATAGTTTATTTTTTTGAATCACTTAATGTATAAATCATGCTTAGTTCATAGGCCTTATAAAAATAGGCAGTGGGATGGGGGCGGCCCCTGTGGCTCAAAGGAGTAGGACACTGGCCCCATATGCCGGAGGTGGTGGGTTCAAACCCAAGCCTGGCCAAAAACTGCAAAATAATAATAATAATAATAGGTGGTGGGCATGATTTGGCTCATTGGCCATAGTTAGCTGACTCCTATCCTAGGTCCAGGTATATGACCTTCTCTACGGAGTTTCCATCTCTTCAGAGGAGGCTGTTGCACAAGCTTCCCCAGGTGGTCAAAGTGTGGACTGTACTGATGAAAACCCTGAATTATGGAAACAAGATTTTTCTAATTTCTGTGTTATGACTGAACACTGTATCACACACCTATGGGTCTTTTGTCATGGCTGGGGAGGCCCTTTTGAAGGTGTTAGATGATAAAATTCATTCTTGCACTGTGTTGAATCAAGACAAGGACTGGAAAATTGATAAGGAGACTGTGACAATGACATGGAACATTTATATGGCAGTAGCTTGGCAGAAGATTTTCATGATATATTGGGGAAGATGGGTCAACGATGCAAAAGAAAAGGGTGTTGATAAAATGGTTATTAGCCAAGAAGGAAATGCTATTGTATGTTGCCCAAAGTTGCGGGTTCAAAGAATGGCAAGATGGTGATACACATGGTAATAAGGAAACTTGCTTGGAGGGGCATGAATCTCATGAAATGACAAAGCACTCTATCTTTGCTATCCAAGTATCAGATAATTAAAAGACATCAAAGAGCCTAAAATGAACCCGATTGATTAGTTATCTTGAGGCTCTTTTATAAGGGATTATGAAAGTTATCCTCCCCTGACTTGGCCAATTAAGTCCAAGGTCACTCTGACATTATGCTGGTCACCACAGAGAGTGGGTTAATGGATAGGGTTTGAATATATTCATTTATTTAATCTAGTTTTGATCTTCAGGTATATAGTAGATGCTGTGCTCAGAAGTGGGCTAGGGAGTCTGAGAAATACAAAAGCAGTTTCTGAACTCATTGTTTGGACTAATTTTACAACTGCTTTGTACAATAAAGCAATCTGAGAATTTGTGATATATCCCAAGACATTTGGGAGGCCAAGGGTCCCACGCACTCAGACGACAACTTTGTCCATAGAAGTGAAAAGCAGATAGAATGGACAGAAGCCCCAGCACAGGAGTCTGCATAAGAGCACAGGAGTGTGTAAAGCTAGTAGGTATTTACCGAGTGTCCACCTTGTGCTCAGCCCTGCTCAGACAATGTAGGCAAGCACAAAAGATTTAAGAGACTGGGTTCCCACTTCAGAGGGGAAAAAACGATTGGAATTTCCACTCACTCTACTGGTAAAGAACAAGGCACGTTCTGGGAGTTCATGGAGGCCCGTGGTACTATTTTTGAGTTATCAGGGAGATATTGATCAAGCAGCTTGAAAGTAAAAAAAAAAAAAAAAAATGATGTATTCTACCTGCTCGCTGAACTCTCTCTTCTTTAGACCTGTCCCCCTGAAGAAAGCTTGGTCAACTCCAAGCATCACTGTGAGCAAATCACTATGACACTTGGACTAAATTCATGGGAAGAAAGTATGCCATCCTTTACACTTGGGTTAAAGTGAACGGTGTACGCTGTACTGAGTCCCCACAGCCCCACCAGTTCCCAGGCATTGTCCTTATAAGTGAGCCATCCAGATTCCATACCAGGTCCAATACTTGCTCCCATGATATATCCTCTTTGTTATCAACTCCAATAACTCAGCAGACATTTGCATTTACATTATGCCAGAACAGCCTGTGGGGCCAAAAACATCTTTTATTCTCTAATATAAACATCCCTATTGGAAAACAGAGCAGAAGTTAAATCCTAAAACAGAAATAAACAGCAAAAGCAGAGTTAGCGAAGGTGCTTTCTCTTCAGCTGTGTTGTCTTTAGACAGCTCGTTCTAACCGTTCCATAGCTTTGATGCCCAATCACATCCGTATAATCTCATTTCTGTACCATGAAATCAACCTTAATACACAATAGAGGCACCTCAGAAGGAAAAAGATTTCTCTAAAAGGAAGTCTGAATATCGTCACCGTTTGGGGATTCTGCAGTATTTTCTTCTTTACCAAGATCCACAAAGGCATAAGGATTTTCTTCACCTCTTGCTTGATTTTTCCTGTTAAATAAAGTGAAGTCGCCTTACTATAGTGATGGTAGAAGGATACTTTTTACCAACCCCAGACTGATGAAGATCAAAGAGCTTGACGATAATCTGTGTTAAGGAGGCTGGATTGCTGATATTAGGTATAGCTTCTCTTGAGGGCAACTTGGCCATATGTATCAAAATTAGCAATTCACATATGCTCTAACCCAGCCTTCCCACTGCTAGGATGTATCTTACAGATATATTGGCACATACAGGAAATTACCTATATTAAAGTGTTGCAACTTTTTTTTTACAAACACAAACATTTAGAAACAACATAAGAGTTCATTACTGGAGGCCTGGTTAACAAAACTAGGGTCCATCCCTAAAATGGGAACCTATACTGCCAGAAAAAAAAAAAAGAGGGAAGCTCTTTGTTCAGCTATTATGGAATGACCTCTAGAACACATTAAATGGAAAATCAAAGAATATATAGAACATTGTGTGGACTTCTAACATTATATACTGAAAAAAGACATAAGTGTTTACCTTATATATCTCCAAGACACTGATAATTTTGGTAGGCTTTGTGAAGGGAACTTGGAGATAAAAGATGACAGGGAAACTCTTTATGTACCATTGTGTATTTTCTTTTTATTTGAGCCATTTGAATATATTACCTCTTCAATGCCTAATTTTTAAAATAAAGCTATTTGGAGGAACTGAAAATTTCTAGAAGGAAGAACATTGAGCAAAATAGACTAACACAAATAGACATTCAATCAAGAATATGTTTAGACAACCTGAGATGTGTATAGACTTTTGCTAGGTCAGAAAAATATCCAGGGACAAAGCAAGACTAGGAATTGGGTCTCTAGTGATTTAAGTCCTCAATGAACTTTGATCTTCAACTCAAGAACAAAGGACAGGATGGCTGACCATGAATTAAGGAGATGATAGGGAATCTGAGCTACCTAAGGAGAAATGAAGCTGATTAAAAAGTGTCGATTTGATGCAAATCTCAGCGCTCATTCTCGAATGATTTCACAGTTCAAACCCATCACCAATCGGTAGGGGCACTTCTAGGCTAAGAAGGATTTAGCAGTGAGGACGGTCCCCCGAGCCCACCCACCCCTGTTGAGTTTACTATGGTGTGCTAATAAACCCCAGGCCGGTTATCTACCACATGGCCTTGTTAGGAGATTGAAATGCTAATTACATCTGGTCAATTTCTAGGGGACGCATCAGGATATTTAGGTGCAAAACTGGCCTATACAACCTTCTACTTCTTGCCAATTTTCCAGTTAGTGTTTCCTAAACTTTTCTGTTTTAGGAGGGATAAATCGAGGAAAGGTCACTTACCGCCTTCGATCTCTGATCCCAGTGATGATCAGGATGACAATGCCAACCACTACCAGTGCCATCACAATTCCAAAAACAATCAGCCAGATGGTGATAGGCGGCTGGTACGGAGGACTCAGCGTTGGCTGAATCCCCAGAAACTCGAGGCTATTGTCATCCAGGCGGAAAACACCATTGATACGGCTTCGTGACATCCTATTCCCAAAAGCAAAACATAGCAAAGGAACACTTAGGCAAAATAAAAGTGCGTGTACATCAACGCTCCTGACAGGATCTGATAAGGCTTATCAGGAGGATGTATGCCTACAATCACAAGAAAAGCAAAGGAGATTGTGGGTCGCATAAGAGATAGGCGTTTTTGATAACTATGCACCTTTCATATCTTGCAACCCACGTTAGGTTTGTCAATGGCTTCATGGGAAAACTGGATCGCAAGGGTGGAAATGTGCAAATGGCTGACATTTGCTAATCTGTGACTACTGTGTTTTAAGGGCAAAGTCAGCACGTTCAGCAAGAATTTCCCTTCTGTCAGAGTAGGTTGACAATGATTTTATCAAAAATCATGACAAAGGATAATTGGCTACACCTCTTTTATAAACGAATCACGTCCCATAGCCACGTCCCTGAAGGAGTATTTTCCAAATAAAAGATGTTGGCATTTGGAGGCAGCCCTGGAGAGGAAGACAGGAAAGGGAGTTTTGCCAACTTCTCCAGCACCGCAATGGGAAATGGCTGAAATTTATGGAAGCAAAAGGATGAAGATTATTTTTTAAAAAAATACAATGAAACGGAAAACATTCTAGATGGAAGGCCAAGGTGGTCTGACTCCACCAAAGAAGGAGAGCGGTCAGAGCAGAATTAGCCACGTAACCCCTAACAACCTTAGCCTGAAAAGATCTAAAAAGAGTCATCCTGAGAGCAGGAAGTTTGAGCCGTGGCCTGCAGCTGGGTATCTGGGAGGGCTGAGCTCTTTCGTGGGGATCTCAGCTGGTACTTTTCCCTGAGCCGGACAAAAGGTTGCAGAGGCACTGAGTGAGTCTCTGGGCATGGTTGGGTCATGACCCCAACCAAGCTAGATTTTCTAGGCACACCCTCCAGCAGGTTTTTAATCAGCTTCCTAGATAAGCAGGACTTCCATGCAGCTCAACAGGGCCACCTAGCGAGCTGCCCAGCGGCAGTGGGTATATTAAGGTTTGGGTTTTTTTAAGGAGGAAGGGAACCATCCTATGGTTGATCAGTTCTTCACACTTGCTGCATGTTGTGGGAAACAGTGGAGGCAAATTGGACAAACTATCTCCTGTTCACACTTACTGCTCCCAGCCAGGCCCTCTCCTACTGCAGAGGCCAACCAGTGTCTCCGGACTCTGTGCTGGCCCACCAGGTTTCAGGCTTTGGGCAGTTAAATGAATCCTGCATCAAAGCCCCTACAGCACATGACGGCAGTACCTGTCCATACCCTGTCTGCGCTGGCTGTTTTCCACAGGTGCTAGCCAGACTCCCTTTGGCCAGCACCTCCTTCCCTTTGCCCGAGAGCATTCTCAGACTATTTCTGCCTGCAGGCCGAAATGCTGGGGAATTAATGCCACCTGGAAACAGTTCCCAGCCAATGAGGTAGTGTAGCAATAATGCAGCTCCCTCAGCCCTCGGATGAGAGGCATTCTACTTGCTCTCTCCAAGTGCCCCAGCAGGACTGAGCTCTTGTTGCCCACGGGGGTAACTTGCTTGACGACAGGCAATCTTTGGTCTTCCTTCTCTTTCCTGTCTCCTGTCCACACTTCCCTATCAGCGCTTCGCAGGCTCGCCTCCGAAATCAACTCCTCACGCTCAAACCCTTGTCTAAGGATTTCTCGGGGGAAACCCAAATCAAGACAATTCCCTTGCTGTGGGAGCCTTCTGGAATTAAAAGCCAAATTTGCAGGATGAGGTAAAATACGTAAATAGCTTAGCACCAAGCCTGGATCAGAGGAAGAACACTAACCGTTCCCTATTAGTGTTGTCGTTTGTGTTAACCCCTCAGCCTCATATGATTTGTTGGAAAGTAAACCGTCACCTGATAGCCTCTTCAACCTCGGTCCTGGGAATGATCTCAGACACATTTTTCGGTGCAGTGACAAAGAAGCTGAAGGAGATTCTTGGTTTGATATCGCTCACCCACACATCCTCCTCCCTGGGGAGAAACAAAAGAAACCTCTTCCCCTGTGACCCAGATAAAGACAATGAAGACTTCCTCGGGGTTGGGGGAAGGAGATTAGGGAGAGGATCACAGGGGAGAGAGAGAGACAGGGGCAAGGCGAGTAACAGAAGAGGTGATCACCAGAAACAATTAACCCTGTCCCAGGCACATGACATCAATTCCATAAAAGCTGCCTCCATATAAAACCCACATCTTTTTCTTTTTAAGATAGGGTCTCACTTTGTGGCCCAGGCCGGAGGGCAGAGGTGTGATCAAAGCTTACAGCAACCTCAAACTCCTGGGCTCAAGTAATTCTCCCGCCTCGGCCCCCTGAGTAGCTAGGCTACAGGTGAGCGCCACTATGCCCAGCTACTTTTTCTATTTTTTATAGAGATAGGGTCTCACTCTTGTTCAGGTGGGTCTCAAACTCTTGACCTCAAGCGATCTTCCCACCTTGGCCTCCCAAAGTACTAGGATTACCGTCATAAGCCGCCAGGCCTAGCCTTAAAACCCACGTGTTTTTCAAGGATGGAAACATTTCAAAGTGAAAGTACTAAGAGAATGAGCAAGGAATCACTGGGGACCCAGGACTGTGACAAACAACCTGGTGGGCAGAGATGGCTCAGTGCCAGGGACAGAGATGGTGTGTTCACACCCCAGCCCACCCCCACCCAGCAGAAAATGTCATATTGCACCCATGGGTGAAGGGAATGTGTGGGTTTTACTCTATGATGTAACATGACCATGTGGCTGGTGGCCCGGGAAGGACTACTCATCTCACCCAGAAAAAAGGCCAAACTCCTTAGTGTGGGCCCCTGAAGCCCACGTGTCCTTTCTCTTCGGCCCCCTGCTGCAATGCCCCCACTCTGCCCTGGCCACCTCCACTCATCCTCCAGCAGACACTGCTCCAGCCACACTGACCTCCTTCCTGCTCCTTCAACAGACAAAGAACATTCCTCAGAGTCTGCACGGTTTCCTCTAGGGGAAACCTTTCCCCATGGTCTGCATTGCTGCTTCTGTTTCCTGCTTCAAATCTTTGCTCAAATATTAGCAAAGCCTTTCCTAACCTTTTTGGTTAAAATTGAACTGCCCCACCACACACACACACACACACACACACACACCAGCACTCCTCAGCCCCTTTTCTGTCATATTTTTCTTCCTACCAGGTATCAGGGAATTTTACTATATGTCACATAGATGTTCCACACGCACACAAAACACATCGGCACTAGAACATAAGGTCAAGGAAGGCAGAACTTTTTCTCTTGCAGGGCTGAGGGTGGGTGAGGGCTTTGAGAAAAGAGCTTGGGAGCGGTTTAAGAAGAACAGGGCTGTGGCGATCTTAGCCAAATAAGCCACACTCTCCCCTCAGTGGAGTTGCCCAAATCCCAGGCTGCCAGAGAAGTGTAAAAGTTATTAGAAGGTTTTTCTTCATTTCCCTTAAAGAAAAGTTTAAGCAGAACACATCCTCGGACTCAGGAGGATAAAGAGGTGCTGGCAGGAGTAACTTGAGAACCCAGCAAATCAACTCACCCAAATGGAACTGTCTGCTGTTTGCATTCTGAAAAATACTGCCTCATGGCATATGCCACAGATGACTGGAACAAGTACATTTCATTGTCATTCCACTCGTACTGCAAATTCAGAAGAAAGACACTTCTCAGTAGGGATCACAGGATGCTTTTTACACCTGATACTCCTCAAGCATTGTTCTTAGATTCCAAAGATTCCCCGTATTCACTGTCAGTGACCCTCCACACGTGTGCCCCGCAGCATCCCCTGCAGGGCTTGTTAAAGCACTGCGTGCTGGGCCCTACCGCAGCGTCTTATTCAGAAAGCCTGAGATGAGACCCAAGAATTTGCAGCTCTAACCAACTCCCAGGTGGTGCTAATGCTACTGGCTAGGCACCCACGCTGTAGGAGCCCTTAGGTTCGCTGGGCCTTTTGCTTTGGTTTGATGTAAACTGAAATAAACACCCTGAGGGTAGGTGTATAGATGGGAGTCCAAAAAAAGTTGTGGGCTTTGCTGTAAATGTCTGTACATTATAGACAAACTGAGTGTTTACTGTTTTTATAGTAAGTTCTCATATATGCACTGTATATTATAAGTGTAAAAGAAAAAGAAAGAAACTTGAAGTTCAACGGGTAAATAACACTTTGTAAACAGCAAGGTAATCTGTTTGTTTGTTTCTTGTTTTCCAATGCCAGATAAATGGCTTGTGTTTGCGTGGCCTTTGAAGACTCATTAAAAGAGAGAGAAAAGCATTCCCTCTTTCTTCCAGTAGATGGCAGAAGAGATCAGCAAATGGCACAAGGTTTGGCCTGTGTTTCTCCTTTCAGGAAAAAAGTTTTAAAATTTCACACAAAAATTATTACATTCCTTTCAGCTTGGCTTCTCCCAGGATTGGAGGGGTGAGCTGCACCAATAGTAATAATAACACTATTAATGTTGTTACTATCGCCACATTGTTTTTAAATTGTAAAGGCTGAGTTCTCAAAATAGTGCCATCACAGTCCAGTTGGATTTCAGTATAAAATAGCTCAAATGGGCCAGATGTTCTGGGTCTGATGTGGAAAGGCACTAAAAGAACGGTTCTGGTCTCTGCCAAACAAACTGTCGCTTAGGGAATTGGCCTTAGACCGTTACCCCATCAAACCCTCTGAAGACTATTTGCCGATCCTTCACGGCATCGAAAGAGAACATGTGGATAAATGTCAAGAAACCAAAGATAATTGAAAAAGATCCTGAAAAGGCCAAGCAAGATCTAATAAAAATATGGCAGAAAGAGAAAGAATCCCACAGAGTATTCCATGATTGTTAAGAAATAAGAACTTGAACTCTCAGAGTTAGGAAAGCAATACACTTCCATTTTTATTTTCCTTTCTTAAATGTTCGCATTTTTTTTTTTTACTCCTACTATGTTGTGTATATTTTGCTGTCTTATTATGAAAAGCATACTAAGAGTATTGCTGAGTCTTGGACAATATTTAACTTCTCATGAAAATAAGGAGGTAGGAAGACAATCTTTGGACCCATTTAATGCAGAGAGCAATTTTTTGTAGCCACTGCAAAGCCTTCAAAGTGTCACAGCCCCACTCAGGCCTTTGATCCCCATCTCCCTGCAACTACCCTGTTCTCTCTTCTTTCCCAGTTAATGCTACTACTTCTAGATCACCTGCAACAAGTGTGAGGAGAGAGCACTACTTATTAAAGTAATTCACATGAACATGTAATATGATTTTCTGTAAGACTTTTTGTTACCACAAAATGCATCTTTACATCAGTGGTTCTCAAACTTTGCTGTAATTAGAATCACCTGGGGAGCTTTGACGCTTGGCACCACATCCCAGAGCAATTAAATCAGAATCTCTGCAAGGAGAACCCAGGCAACCTTTCAAGATATAACCACAGCCTCTCCCTTGAATACAAGTTAACAGTGGTAAGAGTCACTTGGAAGGATTGGTGTTTGAGGTTTAAGGATTGGTACAGAGGTTTTCTCCTTGATCTTCATAACTCCTTCAAAGTAATCGATAAAAAGCAGGCATAGCCCATCCAAGAAGAAATGAGTTACTAAAAAGAAAAAGAAACCCAAAAGCTGAAGGCCAAAATTGGGGGCTTACAGTTTCGAAGAGAACCACGTGACCTGTGCTTTTTCAGACCACACTGGAACGGGCTTACTGTGTCCTATTCAAGCAAAGACAGTGAACTGAAAAAATAATGAAAAGGCACTCACAGGTTTATCTCCAAGACCGGATTTTAGGCTTATCCTCACTTTGATGCTTTGGTCAGCATCTGATCAAAGAGAAATCACAGGCTGCTGGTTACAGATGACAGACTGGCCACATGTGTTTATTTCCTTCTCCTCCCAAGATCCCATTAAAGTGATAGTAAAGGAATTTTTTTTAAGGTATAAACTCACTTTTGGAAAATAAGAAATGATGGGAAATGGGTAACTGCTTTCTCAGGGACAGAAAGCCGTGGCCAAATGTATACACAAAGGGAGCACAGACCCCCAAAGAGCCAGAGAATCCCAGATAGATTTGGGATTCTGGTATGGCAGGGAGCGGGAAGAGGATACTGGGCTGAGCCCGAGGGAAACAAAAGTCAGAGCATGGTTAAAACCACTTGGAGAATAAATGATCCTCCTATCCCATGTGCTCTTGCTTAGACAGTCGCTTGGAGGCTGTGCTCCAGAAAAAACAATAGGTAATCCAACCAAGAAGATGTGGAATCTAAGAAGAGTCAACCCAGGAGAACGAGAAAGGAATTGGTCAGGTTGAAAACTGTGGTCCAGATTGAGACAGGAAGATGTAAGACTCGGAAGGACGTCTCTAGGAAAGGATGCAGTGGAGAAGAAGACACATGTTGGAGTCATTTGGAAGAAACAAATGCAACGTCGCTGGCAAGTTAGTCTGCCAAACCACCGAGGCAAAAAAAAAGTCCATAAGAAAGGACACAAGTTAGTATATTACTTGGCTCTGCAGGCGTCATGATGGAGAGAAACATTGGTAAAATCATGATAAAGCTTTACTGGGAGAAAGACAAATGGAGGCAGACAGAAGCAAAGGTCTAGAACTAACCAACAAGATAGCAATGACAGCTGCCACCGTAAGCAGGTTATGTATAGAGGGAAAATAGACTCAGCTGTGTCACAGCCCTCATGAGAATGAGGCCATAGGGGACCGAGGGAGCAGATGCACGTGTCGACTCACTGTACTCACATGGACTCCAGTTGGTGTCCCAGCCCACAAAAGAATTCCTGTTCTGTTCTTTCAGCCAGGTAAACAGCGGCTCAAAGTAGGTGAGCAGTGGGCTGACATCCATGTTCCTTGCTCCAACCACATTTTCCAGCGCTAAGGTCCAGGGTTCTGATTTTCCAAGGCTCATCATATTGCTACATAAAAAAAAGAAGGGATTTTTTTTCCCCTTTGAGGGATTCCAAATGCACACGTATGTATAACTATGATCGAGTGTTTCGTCTCTTGGACTTAACTAATTTTCTCCCGGCCAATAAGAAAAGGCATGTTAATAGAGGTACTCGTCGCTCAGTCTCTCTCTCTTTCCAATTACTACTGCTAAGGGAGCTCACAGGGAAAGAGGAGGCGGCCCCATCCGGCCAGTGCATGGTGTAGGTTCCTGGCTCAGCCCAAACGAAACATTGGCTTTATAGATGAGGATGGTTTGTATCCTAAAAGTGTCTTTTTGGAACAAAGAAAGGAAATTCAAACCTAGGCATGGAAACGACTAATATTAAGAGAGTTTCAACATTCTGAGGCATTTCTTACAGCAGCTTCTGCCCAGCTTCGGTGGAGCGTGAGATGTCACATTTGTGCAAGGGACCTTGATGTTGAGCTGCTTGACAAAGGGCTTCTTGAAACTGGAATTGATAAATGGTCCTTGTGTAATATCTGTACAGGAGACAAAGAAACAGGAAAGCAGCATCAGGTTTAGTTACAGTATCAGAGATGTAGATTAGGGTATCTAGTCAAGTTCCAGGGCCCAAATAACCAAAGAGGCCCTGGTCAACCTCATTCTCCAGCCATGAACGCTACAGATTCATCATCTCCGTGCACTGCACATCTCAGCTGATAAACAAGGCAGTATTGGTCTGGCGTTAGCTCACATTTGTTTTGTGTTTTACAGATTTTTAGCCCTTTCCGACAGAGGATGCTAATTGATACTTAGGCAGGTCAACAATATTTTCGTTTTGCAAACAAAGAAACTGAGGCTCAGAAAATTCAAAGTCTGGGGCTAAAGGGTGAAGAACATACGTTTTTGGACATCGAGTTAAAAATTCTCTTTCTGTTACAATACATGATAAACTCTACCAGAAGCGGGGAGACAAGAATTCTTTGACTTCTGCCAATGATACTATTGAATCCTTGATGATTGGGGGAGGACCTCCCACAAGTTTTATTTAGCCCAATAAATCATGTCGGGTTAAAGTGTACTGAAATTAATCATCTATATAGACAGTCCCTGACTTACAGTGGTTTGCTTTGTTGTTTGGCTTTTTTTGTTTGCTTGGTTTTTTTCATTTTACAATGTTGCTTTCGGCCGTGCATTAATGGTGAGTACCCATAAAACCATCTGTTTTTCACTGTCAGTACAGTGCTCGATAAATTACTTGAGATAGTGAATACTTTATTATAAAATATGCTTGATAGTAGATGAATTCACCCCTCTGTAGGTTGATGTAAGTATTCGGAGCACATTTAAAGTGGGCTAGGCTAAGCTATGATGTTCAACAGATTTAGGTGTATTAAATGCATTGTTGACTCAAGATGTTTTCAACTTCTGCTGGCTTTATTGGGATATAGCCCCATCATTACTGAAGGAGCATCTGTATTGAGCTGAAGGGGTGGGGACTGGAGAGGGAAAGAATAATTATCACTTTGTTGATCTCTATTTATTATTAACACAGCTCCCCAGCAACCCTGGGAATGAAATAGAAGGGAACTCATTTACCGGATGAAGGAGTAATCATTAGAAACGTGGAACAGAGACGCAGGGTCACAGTATGTTTCATCATGGGGCAGAGGTTCCACCACCCCAACTATCTCTCGCCTTTGGGAAGAAAGGGAAAAGATACATTAGCTGTGAGTCACCCGTTATGGGAAGGTAGAGTTGAACACAATCATGCAGTCGCCTCAGTCAATGGTATTATATTGGCATGGGTTGTCGGGTGAAGTAGAAACAGCGTAGAAACCAGACAGTAAAGCCCATTATGTGGCCATCTCTAAGTTTGCTTTTTTTTTTTTTTTAATTCAGCCAGAATATACCATTGGAAAATAGCTCTGTCTTCCAAACACTAATTTAATGAAATTCATAAAGTGTATCACATGGCCAAAAATGTTCAGTGCAAGCCCTAACAATTCTTCTCAGGGAGCAGACTTTATGTGCTCCAGGAAGGCAGGCACTGGCATTCCCCTTAGCCGAACACACTTCTCTGCTTTTCACATATTTATTTATTGATTTATTTATTTTGCAGGTTTTTTTGGCCGAGGCCGGGTTTGAACCCACCACCTCCGGGATATGGGGCTGGCGCCCTACTCCTTTGAGCCACAGGTGCCGCCCCCTTTTCACATATTTAATCCCACCACACCAGTGTTAACCTGTTCAAATCCCAGTTATCCTGACCGGGAAGCATTTTCTCAGAACCCTGATCCTAGCCATTTTAGACTGGTTTCTCTCCGCAGAAGACCCAGAGACAAGGCTCTGGAAAGTGATTCCAGCAAACATCAGCAACGGAGTGAAGAAATGAGACAGGGAGAGGAAGGAAAACAGCCCCCGAGCTGTGTTATCAGGCAAGTTACCACTGTGGGCAATCGGAGCTTACCCACATTAAGGAACTGGAGGCTTCAGTGGGGTGGGGAGCCTCGTCTCCAGGTATCCCACCCGAGGCCAAGGGCGCTAAGGTATTCATCCACCAAGTCCCACCAGTCATTGGGTGAGGGATGGTGAGAGGACTGTTATATCCTCAGCCCTTCCTGACATCTGAGGATTCAGGAGGCTTTAGGAATCCCTGAGACAATGAAATACAGCTACAGGGGGGTGTGTGTGTGTTCGTACCAACAAAATGATCTTAAATAAAGAGCAAACTCAGGAGGAAACATGTTGCCGATTGCATAATCATTTACTTACTTCATTTCCCACCACTTTTTCATCCACTGATCTTTGGGAATCTCACCCTTAAAGACCATCCATCTCCACTTCTCTAACATGTAAGTAAATGGCAGGGTTCCCACAATCGTGAGCGCTTGTTTCAGCAGGAAGTTAATTTCTGTTTCTGAACGCAAAAGTGGAAAAGGATAAATATTAAGATGAAGATGACAGTGGATGTATTGTGTGAACAAGAATTTTCCTAAACCTCAAGATATTATTCTTCAAGATATACTTACTATAGGCTGATCACATGACAAGTATTGACCGTGGACATGAGAATATGTATATTTTCATTTTTCTCAACTGAAGGATTTGGAGTAGGGTAAAGCCTTGGAATGGAGCTGGCAAATACAAATTTGCAATTTACCCAAATCCTTTTTTTTCATTAGTTTTAATTGCCTTCCTTAAGTACCTCTTAGCAGAGTTAATTTGAGCCGTTTCATCTCCTTTCCCAGTCACACTGTTTATTTTTTGAAAGCTCCATGAAGGCAGTGATTGTGAATGTCTTATTCAAGACTAGTCAGTGTCTGCTAGGTGATGGCTTCTCTGAGTCTTCATTAAACAAACGTAGTGAAAAGCTGGTACACCCGGGATCGGGGGGAAAAAATCTAAAGGATACAATCCACTGGGTGTTCAAAAGTACAAGGTACTTTAAATGGACTGATATTTTCCTTTACCAAATCATGTTATTTTATTTTCTCCTTCATTAATGGCATAAAGAGGCAGTGGCCCTCATCTCTAGTGCACAAAGGAAGCTCCCTGAAATGTAAGCAGGGCTGTGATTTACCTTGCACATCACTGTGTCTCTAGGGTCTGGGAAAATGCCTTGTATGTGGTACGTGCTTGGCACACGTGTTTGGAAGAAGAAAGGAAGAGAAAGAGGGAGTGCGGGAGAAAAGGCATGAAGGAATTTATCTAACATTATTTACAGATAGGGGCAGAGCCAGGGAAAGAAGCAGCAGGGGGTTTCCAAACCGGTAGTTTAACCACAGCTTAAGGAACATAGTGATTCAACCATTTTGGCCTCCTGTCCAGAAATACTAAAAAATAATCAAACTGATAATTGCCTGTTCATTGACTTGAATGAATTATATTTTAAAATTAGGAAGCAGGTGTAGTTGCCATCAACTGCCTTTCCTTTGTTGCTTCACGGGTGGATGCCACTGCTGTTCTATAATCCACTGAATGGATGCTTACAGTGGCTATTTCAGACATGATGATGGCTTTACACTAGCTTACTCCAAGATCCTTACGGGATCACCAAGGAGCTAGAGCCAGAAATCAAGACAGAGCGAATTGCCCGCCCAAGGATGGAGCTCATTGACTCTATTGACCCAACGCCCCAGCCAGCAGAACTGATCTTTATGTCACAAACAACTAAAATGAGGGGAGCAAACAGATGGAAGAGAAGGTGTCAGGTTCTGCTTGCCCCCCCCTTTACAAGGATGACTCAAAAACCGTGGCATCCTCACTGAACATTTGTCATGTTCCATCAAAGCCAAGCCATCCGAAGAGAAACAGGATGCCTCAGGCAAAGTGGGCTAAAATTTTAGGAAGTTTTTACCTAGAACCAGAAGAATCTAGTCAGGACCCTGACGCTAATTAGCTGGGCGACCTTGACCTGGGTGACCATTTCAGTCCTATGAGACTGTTTCAGTATCTTTAATAAAAAAACAAACTTCTGTTAGATATTTCTTAGGGTCACAAGATCATTCATTCAGTTACCCTTCTGAATCCCTTTTCAATAATACAGAACCACAAGTTGACAGGTTCTGATATATCCCTAATTTTTCGTTTACTGTAGCAATTTTCAGTTATCCATAAATACCTTACACCTTGTGGGTCGAAAAGTCAATATTTCCTATGTATAATAATAAATACCGTAGCCCATGTCAGATTAAAGAACCCCCAGAACAAGCCATGAGAAAATGTCCATACCATTGTCCTCTTGAAAATCACGTGGCAGAAGACCAATGGATTGTAAATGCTTAGGTGTAGCTACAGAAAGGGACATGATTTCTCCAACAGCTTCATGGAACCCTTCATTAGCTCCACTTCTTAGCAGGAAAGGTTGTTTAGCATACGCCATATCATACTGGATGTGGCCCATCTCATGATGGGCTGTCAGGAAGTCATCCATTGTCACCTTTGTACACATTTTGATCCTGCACAAAAATGGACAAGCTTAAAATGAATCTCACTAAATTTCATTTAATCATTATAGTAGAGTTGTATGAAGTTTCTTGCCAAGATTTACTCACTAGCCAATCTTGAGTCCCTACCTCTTAGGTCCTAGAAACTGTACTCATTGCTCAATATAAACTAATAGGTAGGGCTGAATCCTGTTTTCTTGCTCACAGACTAATAGGAAGACAGATGAGCAGAGGCCTGTGCTACAAACATGGTGACACAAGTACTCTCTAAGTGATCGGTAGACTCAGTCTTGGGTGCAACAATGAGCGAATAGAGGCACAGTCTCCTAGAAGCACCAAGAAGGGCATAGTTGGATTCAACGAGCAATCTCAACATTGACCAATAGGCAGGAGTTTTCCAGGTATGTGGCAAAGGGGGCCCCAAAGTACTCAATGAGAAAGGCTTGAGAAAAGAATGTGCCATTTAGGACACTGCAAGTAGTGTGGCATTGCAAATTAAAGAAATAGTAGAAGCAGCTAGAAATTGAGACTTGGGAATCATTAGCATGTAAGTCAGGGAGTGGATGTGATGGCCCATGAAGCAGGAATCAAGTGGTAAGAAAAGACAGCCACAGCAACACTCATAGCTCATAGAGTAGGGCACTGGCCACATTCACCGAGGCTGGTGGGTTCAAACCCAGCCTGGGACTGCTAAAACAATGACAACTGCAACAACAACAACAAAAATACGCGGATGTTGTGGTGGGTGCCTATAGTCCCAGCTACTTGGGAGGCTAAGGCAAGAGAATTGCTTAAGCCCAAGAGTTTGAGGTTGCTGTGAGCTGCGATGCCAAAGCACTCTACCCAGGGCCACAGCTTGGGACTCTGTCTCAAAAACAAAACAAAACAAAAAAGAGCCAAAGACAAAGCCTAGTTAGGAGGTCCCAGAACCTAAGAGGTAATGAGAGGAAAGTGATTCAGGGAAGACAGAGAAAGTACAATCAGAGAAATCAAAGAAGTTGGAAGAGGATGGCAATCCATGTCATCTAATGCTGTGTAGCCTAACAGCATAAGCACTGCATTTGAGATAGTGATCCTTTTGAACCTGGCAAGAGCATTTTCTTTCAGTTGGGTATAGGGGTAATATTTCAATAGATTCCCAAATTAATTTTCCTACCACTCTGATCATGTCCTCCTCATTGCTCAAGAATAAACTCAGCCTCCTTTATACATGCCAATCTGACCCCAACCTGTTTTTCCAACTTGGTTTCTCTCAATTCTCTTTTGAAACAATTATAAGAATAACTACTATATTTACTATATGTAAGATTCTGTGATAAGAAACTTACATATACTTTCTCATTTTTAAGCCTTACTCTAGTTCTGGGGTCAGTAAGCTATGGCCTACCAGCTGGCCACATTATAAATAAAACTTTATTGTCACTGTGCCCATTGTTTCTGTATTGTCTAGGCTACCAAGGGCAGAGTTGAGTAGTTGCAATGCAGACTTGAAAAGCCTAAACTATTTACTATCAGTTCCTTTACAGAAAAGGATTGCTGATTCCTACTGTAGAGAAGCCTGGTGGGATCCCACCTGGATCTTAGCGTCATGCAGACCCACCCATCCCCCAGCTGCCTGAGTCACAACAGATAAGGGCCAACAGCTGCTTTCTTCACTGTCTTTGGCTAAATGGGAGGTGCCTTAACCAGGAAGTTCACACACTCAGGCAGCTCACAGCCTGTGACTAAAATAATGGTACAAAATGCCAGTCTCAGTCTCATGTCTCAAGGTGTGACCAACTCTGCTATTCAAATCATGCTCCAGAGAGCTCCATGGGATCAGGCTGATGCCAAGTCTACGGCAGAGATCATTTCCTTACTTTCCTCCCTCACCTGTCCCAACCTGCTTCCCTCACTCCCCTTCACCTGAAAGCTCCCCCCTCAGTGAAGCACTCGGACGATATTTATTTCAAGCGAGTGAAGCCAACCTAAGACTCTCCCAGACATGCAACCTGGGGGTGACTATTCTACCTTATAGATTAGGAAACTGAAACCCCCAAAGTGAAATACTTTGCCCAGGGTTGCCTAATCATTAAGTGACACGCCTAGGATCCCATAGCC